TAGCTCACGGCAAAAATTTAGTATTGCCGGTGTTTATCCGGTGGACTCGTGGACAGCGGTGATCACTGCAAATTGAAATTCCTCCAGATGTTCATTTTATGTCCTATGGTCTCATTTGACGTATTGTGCCATCATCGTCTTTAAGACACGATTTTCTCGCTCCGTAGGGTTGCCTCGTGGGGAATAAGGGGCTGTGAACTAATGAGATAAGTTCCAAGACTTTGTAAGAGAGGCAAACAGTTTTGATGTATACTGCTTACCATTGTCTGTCAGTAGAATCTCAGGAGCTCCATACCGAAGCAGGACTAAGTCCGTGAATTTCTTAGAGACTTGATGAGTGGTCGCATTTGGTAATGGTGCTAACTCTCGTACAGTATAATAATCCTGACATACTAGCAGAAATCTATTTCCCTTACGTGATCTCGGTAGGCGTCCGATCATATCACTCGTCACCATGTACCACGGGCCTTGTGGTTGTCGAAAATGGATCTTTCCGACAGTCTTCCGTTGTTCCACCTAGTGACGTTGACATAACTCATATTTACGGACATAGTCGTGTACCGAGTTTCGCAACCCGGGCCAATAATACCGTTCGGCCTGTGTTGGATGGTTTTGAAGATACCTAGATGACCTGCACTTGGAGTATCATGTGTTTTAATTTTGGATGGGACGCCATGATGGTCAATGTGAGTCAGAAGGTCGTCAGCCAACTTAAACTTCATGCAAGAGGCAAGTCAGTGCCTTATCCATCATTTGATGCGTTTACTTGTACGGTGAAGGGTTGATTGAAATTAGGACATCTTAGAATAGGCGCCGATGTTAGTTTGTGTTTGAGCTAAACAAACGCGGTGCTTTGAGCCTCGCCCCACTCCCATTTGCTCTTCTTCTTCAAAAGCATAGTTAAGGGAGCTGATTTCCTAGCAAAGTCAGGGACGAATTTCCTATATCAGGAAGCGAGTCCCAGAAAACTTCGTATGTCTTTAATTCTTGCTGGTGTAGGGAAGTTAATTATTGATTGGACCTTATCAGGGTCAGTGCCGATGCCTTGTTCGTCCACTATGTGTCCCAGGTACTTCAGTTGTTGTAGACCAATCTTACATTTTTCGATGTTCATTTGTATTCCTGCATCACGTAAGCGTTGAAAGACTGCTTTCATCAGAGACAGGTGATGCTCAAAATCCTTAGAAATTAGAATCAGGTCATCCAGGTATGCGAATGCATATGGCTCAAACTCAGGACCGATGAACTTGTCTGCACTGACACACACTCAAATCAGTTAAATGGTGCAAACTCGCTTGCATGGCTGTTTCACTCCGACACCGACGGCGATACGTACGGGTAGTACGGCTCTTGCACTTGATGGTGTTCGGTTAGGATTGTTGTATGATTACCAAAAGTATTGGGGTTCTATTGGACCTGATAGGGAGGCTGCTGATATCCGAAGAAACCTTGCTGGGATGGTGGTATTACAGTAGTTTGTTTTTGGGCCGAATCGATAGCAGTGATAATATCTGCTTTCAACTTAAATTTTTTACTGGCAGGCACCTTCTGACACTCTTACTCTGTCTTCATTTTGCTCATTGTCGAACATTTTATAAGCTTTTTCTTTACACCATGTCATCCTCCCTGACCCTTTTCTTTGATGCTCTTCTAGCCACCAATGATGATCCTGGTTGTATGGTTGTTTCCAGTGAAATCTCATCTTCCTCTTCAGTCATGCCTTCATGGACTCCGTCCTCTGAGAGGCTGAACGTGGTCTAGTTTATCAGGTGTTGCATCAAAGTCGGCGTTTCCATTATTCTCAGGAATTCGGGTTTCTACTATATCCACGTTTGGAAATTTACAGGCGATTTTTATTGCATTAAGTCCAGTAAAAAAAGAATAGTATTTATTTTTCTTACCAAATTGCTTTTATTTTCTTCAGAACAACAAATCCAATATTTTATAGTTTGTCCTCTTTTGTTGAGCGAGGTAATGTAAGATCTGGAAGGTTAATTTGCACTGATGTGTTATTTTCTCCGTTATTTAAGAAATGGAGGAGAAAATGAGGAGCTTAAATATTTGCTAAATGCTTTGCAATTACTCCACGATACAAAGATACAAATATAGTTATAATATCTTGACAATATTCAGAAACACTTAATTTATTGAGCTGAACATATTTAAAACCCCCAATACTTTCAATTAAATAAAATTGAATTGAACAAAATCCTTTGTTTTTTTTAAATAGATGAAAAAGATGAGGGACAAAATTATGCCTTGTATTTCACTGACTCAGATAATCTGACCATTAGTCATAATTTATAATAAAATAGTTAAATAGCAAAACCCTTATCCATCCACATGATATCTTTACGATATCAAAAGTTTGTTGACTAATACCCGCACTTTTGTAGACTAATACTTTTATATCTCAGGGATCACATATCCCATATATATTATGGGATATTATATTATTATCCCATATACAATATATTATACAGGGTGTCCATAAAAAACGTTTCAGGACTTTGGGAAATGAATCCCCATACTAAAAGAAAGAAAAAAGTTTATGGGAAGGTATGTCCGAAAATGCATATTAACCCAGATATCCGCCATTTTGTTTTTTATACAAAAATATTTTTATCTGTGATGTTTTTTATTCGACGATTATGAAATTTGGTATACATGTTAACATACACAAGACCTATAATAGAAAAAATAATAAAGTTGTTCCGATTGTAAATTTCAAAATGGCGACCGTTTGAATTTTTCTAACTTAAATAACTCAAAAACTGCTAATTCTATGAAAAAATGTCAAGGATACTTTTTTTTAACATTTTTAATTTCCTATCAAACGATACCAAGATCAAAAAGATCGAACAAAAGATAACTGAAATATAACGTTTTTTGTGTAAAAATAAGGCAAATATTAAGGGTTTCCCGACTAACTCTGCCTTATTTTTACACAAAAAACGTTATATTTCAGTTATCTTTTGTTCGATCTTTTTGATCTTGGTATCGTTTGATAGGAAATTAAAAATGTTAAAAAAAAGTATTCTTGACATTTTTTCATAGAATTAGCAGTTTTTGAGTTATTTAAGTTAGAAAAATTCAAACGGTCGCCATTTTGAAATTTACAATCGGAACAACTTTATTATTTTTTCTATTATAGGTCTTGTGTATGTTAACATGTATACCAAATTTCATAATCGTCGAATAAAAAACATCACAGATAAAAATATTTTTGTATAAAAAACAAAATGGCGGATATCTGGGTTAATATGCATTTTCGGACATACCTTCCCATAAACTTTTTTCTTTCTTTTAGTATGGGGATTCATTTCCCAAAGTCCTGAAACGTTTTTTATGGACACCCTGTATATTATGTGCCATGATAACATTATATCAATTGAAACGCAAAACGTTCTTCTCAAGGTTAAGATAATTTATTTCCTAACATAAAAAGTTGTCCAATTCACCTAGTTTTAGTAGTTTTTGCCTGGTCAGCATGTATTTGGTTTTACATTTTTAACTCTATAACTATTTCTGACAGAAGCTTCCAATTTGGATGGATTAAGAAACCTTAATGGTATAAAAATATATTTATTTATACATAATTTCATAATTATTATTTACATAGAGGAAATAAGGGAACATTGTCTAATGAGGTAGAAAACTGTAAACTAATACATAGAAAAAACCCGCTAAAACTTGTGTCCAATGCGAAGCGTGTCCGCACTTGACTGCTCTCAGAGGAGTTGGCCAGTTGGGCGTACTGCGCACCGCGGAGGTGGGTAGGAATACGGCACCGTCTCATTCAGTAATGTTGAGTAGGCTTCGCAGTATGGACTGCGCATCACGCAGTGCGCTCCGCACAAAATGCAGAGCTAGGAAGGCTCACCTTGACTCCAGTCACCCGTCCCGCAGTTTTGCGACATAGAATCGCTGCGTAATTCGGCAGCTAGGAATATTACTGCACCCGATCCTGTGTATCGATCCAGTGGCGAACTTCGCAGCGGTATTTTAAACGAGGACATAATATCTTTCCCTGTCTTCACTCGTTCATGGCAATGTACCATCATAGTTCACCATTTTAGGATGATTAATCCTAACACATGAACTATTGGTACATGAATAGCTTTGTCATTTAAAACAGTATTTGGAAAATACAGTTATGATATAAGTTTAATTTGTCACTGTATTCTTTAGAGGTATTAACTGTCGTATTAGCTGGTTAAGAATAAAACCCATGTTGAAAATAGCTCATAACGCATTACAAATAAACTCTCAGTAACTCCTTGATCAGCATCGTACGTGTTATTAATTTACCTGTTTTGTGCTTTCAACTAAACTCTTGTCACAGCAAATACCTATTTACTTAAATAAAACTACTTGTTAAAAAAAAAAAAAAAAAAAACACGAGAACATTTAAACGTATTATTTAGGGTATTGTAAATAATGTATCCCGGTCGTGTTGCCCACACACGGTCCACACGGAGTCGGAAGAGTCGGCAGCCCTGTATAAGGACTTTGGTTACCGGTAGTATTTAACAATTGTGAGCTATTGTTATGAGACCACGGCTTTGAAAAACATTCTTACGATGGTAAGAGTGTTGAAAACAAATAGTTGCAAACATAGTGGTGTGGATGTTCTGCACAATCTAGGCAAGTTAAAAATGTATGCATCCAATCTGGTGCCATATTTCCAAGACGGACATAAGTTCAAATTTTGCCGAGTTTGCTGGAACTTGTTCCTATTAATTAGTAAGTAGATACAGACTATGAACTCCCAACGCGCACAATCATGGCGTTTTTAAAATATCCCCGCGAATTGACATGATCACGCAACCACGTTTCCCCTAACAAAGCTCGTCATCTGTTGTACTTGTTATTAACTCGTACAGTCACAGTCAGCTGGTCGATACAATGCGTGTACTGGCCGCCAGGTGCGCTGCGATCCTCTGCTGTGTTGTGGTTCAGTTGTACATAGCTACAGTGTACTGTGTAGTGATGTAGTGTAGACGTAGACCATGTGGAGTGCACTCAGTGAGCAATTAGTGGTGTGTGTGTTGCTAGTTGTTACTCGCTGCTACGCTGTCTACACTATACTCGAGAAAAGAGGTACAGAGCAAAGCAATACAGTAATAATAATATAAACGATTTGGTCAATTTTCCAAAAATTGAAGATTTGTTTTTTTTTTTTCGAAATATCGCCGAACTTATTTAATATTTGTGTATAAACTAAGGCACTTACGTGACCATGGGATTAGTTAAATAGAGCGATTCTCAGCATGTTTGAATATACCGTAGCAAGCAGAACTTAAAATTATATTTAAAAATAACCTAACATAGCAAGGGGAGCAGACCGCTTTCCGATTTCCCTATATTAGCCATTATAGGTTAGGTACACTTATCTCATAATTGACAATAGATACAAACTTCAAATTTTTCATACTTATTTAGTGGACCTTTGTACACATTTTAACCAGAGGATTTTTTTCTATTTACCTTTTTTTCCATTTATGATTTTTTTTCAAAATTTCTAAAAATTTTCCAGAAATTTATCAGTTATGTAATGATAAAAAAAAATTGGTTAGGAATATTAGCATAACCTCTGGTATAAGTGTGGACAACAATGCAATAAATGTATGTGCAAAGTTTCATTACCATATCTACAGTACTTTTTGAGAAAAGTGTACCTAAGTGTTAAAAATTGGTTTTTTCGGAAAACGAGGATGAAAGAAAACGTAAAATGAAATTACCTTTCAGTAATGTCCAGCACAGTAGGAAGGATTGTCTGGATCTTCATTCTCTTCATAGTCATCTTCCAGCTTCTTCCTTTTGAGGTTTCTTTGTTGCCTACATTTCTTTTGGACCTCCTGGATTGCTTTTTCAGCTTTACGGACTCTGCGGGCATCGAGCAGCTTCATCGCGCGCACACAGTTTTCACCGGCATCTAGACCCATTAGCTTAAACATAATACACTTTGCCACATTCCCTTTGTTATATTGTGCAATGGCATCAAACACCCCTAACTGCAATGTTGAGAGTCTAACAAAAACTTTCTTGGGCAGACGGCTCCATATAATATTGTTCACTGACTCGCTCATATTTTGAGTGCCACCGTGAGCACACTTGGCTAGTAAAATAGGATTAGCTAGGTCCTTGAAGATAGGTTTTATTTCATTTAGGATAGCTGGAGGAAGGTGGGTATGTTCAGAGTGCTTGTATGCTTCTTTTCTCTCTTGGGCTACCTGGTATTTACACCAAGAATCCTCTCCCGTAGGGCAAAGTTCGTGCATGGGTTCTTCGTCGGTAGAACCTAAATGGCAGAATTCTGCCCATATGGCTGTTCTCATGGATCTGACTCCTTCAGCTGCATGCCTTCTGATAGCAATGCCATAAAATATTTGAATTTTATCAATGGCATGCCCTGTCAATCTACCCTTACCTCCAATTGTTTTCCCATCGGCGAGGATTTTGTGTGAATTTTTTTTTTTTGAAGTCTCTGAGGCGTTTCCCCATACGCTTTTGGACATGACCCACACATTCCATTTTTTCAATTTGGAAGTCTGGGCCATATGGCTGTTGAGCACACACTGTGTCATAGCCTTTGCAGTCACCGTCACCAAGGTAATATTTATATCGTACGTCATAGTTCATTTTAGACCGTTCAAACATTTTTTTCACGCCCTCTACCTCCATCCCTCCGCTGGTGCCAGAATAATTAGCGATGCACGAGTTGCTGTGTTTATTTTCAAGCCTAGTTTTACACTGGCAGAACTTGGACATTATTTCCACATCCAAAACTTGGCCAGTAGTAATGCTCATAGCTGTAACTACACCATTTAGTGATGAAAACCCGCGCCGCTGCCAAGTTCCATCGAAAGCACAAGCGATGTCTCGGTCTCCATCGTTTTGGCGCACCGCCTTCTCTACTGCTTCCTTCATGGCCTCTACACATACCCTTTTAGTAACAGGCAACAACATCTTATTGTATTTTGCAAATTTTGAAGGTTTTGGTAGGTTCATTACACCTGCAAACAACTCGCCAGTTTCTTGGCCAATCCCTATGCATCGCAGGGCGTAGACGAAACGTACGTTTACATCGTAAACTCTGTTTTCAACATTTTCTAAACCTAACCTAACTTTAGTTAGCTTGCTGTTCCTCTCACTAGATTTTTTTAGACACTGTTGGTTAGTACAGCTTAGATTTAACGTGAAAGCTAGGCCTATTCTTTTTTCAGTGCCAAGACGTAATGGGCTGTGACAATATTTGCAAACCGCCAAATCAGATATTAGTTTTTCAATCACTGCTAGGTCCAATAAATCATACTTCAGTTTATCATTGTTGAACTGATCATATTCAATATTATTAGCTAGTTTTACCTTGGATGTACTTTCTTTTGATGTTATTTCAGAACAACCACTTTCCTCGTTTGAAGATTGAGACACAGGCACAGGGGCTTCTGTAGGTTTAGGCCTATTTCCATCATTTAGATGCCACCCAAAGCTTTTTCTTTTCTTAAACACTTTCCCCGGTCTTGGCATTTTCAACAATATCAAACAAAGTAAGATAAGTCCACAAAACACAATCTTACTTCTAAAATAACCAGCACAACTATTCACTGTTTATATCAAAGCTTTGCTGTTACTTGAAACACTGATATTTATCAAAACATAAACATAACCAAGAATAGTGCACAGACAACAAACAAACCCAACATAACAGCTGACATTCAAGCTGATTTCAATGCCTTACAAATACTGTTCTTCTTTGCTGAAATATAATAATAAGTACTATATGAAAACCAATTGTGTTACTCGAGAAGCTACAGCTCAACACTGTCACTAAGTGTGCAGGGTAATGAATTTCATAAAAAAAAAAACAATAAATCAAATTAAAATAGTTAAGTGTTATATATCATTTGAAAGAGGAAATTTCAAGCTATAATCTGATATCAAAAACACATAAACCTAAAAAAATAGATTTTTAAGTGGTTTGCTCCCCCTTTTAAATGATTAGTATATAACTGTCTCAAACAATATGCATGCCATATTCTGACGTCTTACCTTTTGTTGTGATATGAATTTGTTGTAAAAAAAACTGTTTACATATAGGCATTTACACTATTACTTTTATGTAATAATAATCAACCTTAATTACGGTACCTTTAAATAAGGAATTTTCAAAATAAAAAAAATTTTAGTACTAATACTCCTTAAACGTTGTTAAGCATTGTTTAAATGGAGAATAGTGGTCATGCAATTGGAAAAGAAGACATTTTTCTGTTATTATTTATCCATCCTTAACAAATAAGGTATCATTGAAAACTAATAAAATTTACTAACTTTTCTGTCCTTATGAAATGTTTCGTTATGTTAACGGTTTTCGTGAAATTGGGCATCAAATTTTTTAACGGCTGCCATTTTGAAACGGTTAATGATTTTTTAGTATAACTTTAATCAAAGATAAGCCTTAATAAGATTAATATTTCTGCAAGATCTCAACGCTGTATCTCAAACCGTTTAGGAGTTATTAATGTTTTTGTAAAAAACACATAAATGCCGACAGTCGGTAAACTAGACACCACAGACCCATTTTCCTATGGTAAAATGTGTTTGTCTTGACCTAAGCAATAACGCTATTACAAGTGTCCAGAGAGTTATCGGACACCCTGTATTTGTAACACAAGTAAATGAGAATCGAGAGAAACAATTAGATACCTTCTCTACTTATTTTTTGTTTAAATTTGCATTTTCTTACAATCTTAATGTTTTTATCGTGAAAAATGTCATTGTTTTTCATTTTTTTAGGTGATGTTATATTTGATATTACATTTAAGATTTTATGGTTTACAGTAAGCTTAAATTTGTCTCCGATAAAAGGATTGCGTATTTGTTATGGATTCGTAAGTGACTTAACGCACTCTGCCCAGTAGCTCAATTCAACCACATACACGTACAATATAAAACCTTATATGAGAAGTATATTTTTCATGGATGTGGTTTAATTGTGGTATTAATGAACTGTCGCATTACTACAAATTATAACACCTCATGAATGCGTGTGAACTTGTTGGACATCATACTATGTGCCGGTGTTATAACTACGCTGCAGACAATGGACCTAATGAGATTGATTCGTACACAGCAAGAACTATTGACAAATGTTTGAACTTTGAAGACACCCGAAAGAAGACGACATTTATTCAAAGCTACTTGATTTAGCCTATTTTATTCTCACTAAGTATCGGTGTAGAAAGTAAGAAGGCGCTGAGATAGGCAATCGAGATACACGTCTCAAGTTGCCTGCAGTTCCTGCTGAAGGCGCTGGCACCTTAATGCAAACTGCACTTTTTTAGTTGTGTTTTGATGATTAACCTGTATAGAGTCGCATGTCTAGATTGGAATAGTAAATTTATATTTCCCGTTTACTTGATCATTTAGTCAAATTCACAAACTAATGTATGAGTATAATGTTGTTTTCTTTTCTAACAGTTCTTTTATCGTATTTATTTAAGGTGTTACAGGTATAAAAATATTCAGTTTACTCTAGACGTACAGTTTTTTTAATAAGTATTATTTCTTTTTAATAACAATTTGAATACTTATAGGCGAATATCAGTATTACTTAGCCACTAAATAACTATCAAAACTTTAAAAAATAAAAAAGACACCATGTTAACATTAGCAATAAAAACAATTTAATTAATTGAAAAAGTAAACATATAGAAAAAGTAGCATATGACAAACACACACACACATGATAGAGACAGTTCAAGGGGAAAAGTCGGGTAACTTCAAATAGGGAACAGGAAAAAACATATGGTAAACTTTTCAGCTCGCTAACCTCAAAATTGTAGTATTAGTGCATTATGAAAACTACTAATCACACGATATTTTAAGTTATGTTTGTAAACAACAGAAATGTTAAACATTGATGACGACTTTGTATAACCTCAAAATATTTGGTATATAATACATTGTAAGGTTATTTCAACATCATGATGAAAATAGTTCTTTTTGGTACTTAATAGTATTTCCAAGCTCGGCTCATAGCGCACCAAAAAGAGCCACTTTCACTCCTAGTGATGAAAACCACTGTTATTAAACGAGAG